GTGGGGGGGGGGGGATCGCTGTGACACCGGCACCGCGAACTTGCCAATACGTTTCACACAAAGTTCCACATGCATCCAGCTCTACTCTCCAAGCTGAGGTTGTGGGGGAATGATCGTTACCGTTTTATATAATGGCCGTTTTTTTGTCGCTACCCCCACCAACCGTCGGTGGCCGGCGACCTTATCTGACTGATGCATACTGTCTTTTTGCCACCGAGAGGGATCTGCTTGGAGATTATCCAGCTCGGGTCCCTACCACCGACTGACTGACTTCGTGTTCCTGACGTCTTGTCTTGTTGCCAGCGGGTACGATCAAAGGTATACCGGGGATCTCATGACTCATCCACTGACGTTTTCTCTGATTGAAATTAACCACTTTCAAGAGCGGAACTCAACAGCTTAATTAGCCAACGGACTACCTGCGCAACCGTGATTATTACTGGTATAATGTGTGACAAAAAAAATTAACATTTACTTTTACCGACATTTACTGTGTCGGTAGAAGTCATTATTAAACTAGAAAGGCCGACATTTGCTTGGAGAAGGAGGGGAAAAGAAGAAACACGAGAGAACCCAATATATTTCATCCATACCATGGTATGGACTGAAATATAAAAAGGCTACTAAAATACAATTGTGAGTTAAGCCGTAGCACCATAATATACTAAATTTCAATTCTACCAAAACGTATCTATTGCATGTTTTTCATGTTTGCAAGGAGTAATATAAAACTACGAGTACTACTAGGCACATTACCTTAGTGTCTGAAGCCCGGGACCTGGTCGTCGTGAGGTGGGACTGTTTCTACTGCTCCAAACCAAACATTGGCCCAGCTTCCATGCATCTTATATTCTTCCACTTCTTCATTGAACGGCATACAATGTATCGACTTGTTTTTGCCCAGGAGCCTGCAACAGACTAAGTTCCTGATGGAGGGGACACTGGAAGTCTGTCAAACGTTCAGGAGGAAGCAGACGAGTACACGATTAGAACTCTGGCAACCTTCCCTGGCACGCCTTCCAGTTGTATTAATTTGGACCAGACGTACGTATCCTGAATTCAACTCTCTCTCTCCCTCTCTCTCTCTCCCTCCCTCTCCTTCTCTCTCTCCCTCTGTCTCTCTCTCTCCCTCCCTCTAATAGAAAACTACTACTTCTGCTCTACATGCACTCCTGGAGAGACGTAGTATCGAGTGAGGCTAACTTTATTTTACTTGGTGGTCGCCATTATTTTTATTTGTCAGGACGTTCAACATGACATCAAAGACTTATCGTGTGACAACGTTTCCAGCTTCGTACACACAGTTTCATGGAGTGAATATAGCCATGATAAGTTTCAAGGTTCAGGGGATGGATTTGTTTATTTCAGCAGTTTAGTGG